TACGTTATATTCAAAAATGTTTGTATTTCTGATATTAATAAATAAATTATGTAGGTGTATTTATTTGCATATATGTATATACACATATATGAATATGAAATATAAAATTCATATACATACATATATAGATAACAGTAATGTTGGTTTTTTTTGTATTCCTAAGGAGTTTATATAGAGTTTCTGCTGTTTTGTGTTAAATTTTTACTTTAAAAAGTACAATTTGTTATATATATGGATGTACGTGCATGAATATGTGCTTTATTATGTTTGTTTGTAAGCTTTTTACTTTTCAAGAGAAAAAGGATATGAAAATGTTACGAAACTAATATTTGAGAATATGTTTAGTTCTTTTTTGTTTTTGTTTCTGTTAAGTTTCTGTTTTTATTTGTTTTCATTTTATACATACACGTACGAATACATACACCTACATTTGTAGTACAGAAATATATATTTTATATGCATTTAAATATGTTTAGATGTATATAATAAGTTTTGTGCTTTAATGCTCTTGATGATGGTTCAATTGAGAATAGAGTTTTTAATATTTTTGTTTTATAAATTTTATTTTTTTTTTTATTTTTCTGTTAAACAAAAATAAATGGCACTGAAGAATAAAAATTGGGTCCGGATATTTTAATGTATATATAAATATGTTTAGAGTATATATGTATATATATATTTGCATACATATTTGAAAGTAAAATATAAGTGTATTAGGAATACGGTACATAAAAAAAATTATAGTTTATTTTCTTCTTATTATATTTGTAAATTTTTCATTTTTATTATTATTATTAAAGAGACTCTTAATAAAAAGGATAATATTGCATTTTTGAATTTTTCAATATATATATACGTAGCTATAAATCCTTAAATCTAAAATCAATAGAATAAAAATTTGTCAACATGTCATAATATAAATTATAATAATAATAATAAGAGAAAAAAAAGAAGATAATAATTATATTTTGAATTTAAAAGAAAATAAATACAATTATTGCTACATTTAGAGAAAAAAAAAATCAATTCTATTGCATACTTTCGGGAGTTATTGCATAAAATAATCTATGTAAAATAAAAGATTTCTCAATGATCAATGAATATCAATAGTTTTGAATACTTTTAAAATTTTTCTTTACAAGTTTCAGATCTTTGTTATTCCTGGTCCCATATGAGTTTTGTTTTTAAAGTTTCAAAAATTACTGAGTTTTTATATTTTTAAATATTATGCGTTTTATATTGATTTCATTTTAAAGAAATATTATTTTGTGAAATAAAAATAAATAGAGAAACAGATTTTGTTTCTAAGTAAAGAGTAATATTATCTAGATAATAGTTTTAAGGCTCAACTATTAATATCGACAACAGGTAAATTTCTTATGAATATAATCAAAACATTATAAATTAAGTTGTGCAGGTCTTAATAATTAAGTTAAAACACTTTCAAAAATTTAGTTTTTGACTTCTATTATAAAATGTTGAAAATGAAAAATATTTTATAGATATGCTTAAATTAAAAATATAATTTCCAAAACCTTACTGATAAGTAACTTTTATTATGAAAAAATTAAAATAATGGTCATACACTGATAAATTAAAGGAAAATAAATTAATTTGTAAGTGTATATTAAACGAGTGCTTTGTTAACGTTCATAATTTGTATTTTCAATGTAACGAATTCGTAAATTTGAAATTAGGAGGAACAGCAAAACTGCAATATGTAAATATTTTAAACATAATGATCACAATATATACAAAGATATAATAAGATAATTCGTAATACAATTCATTTAAAATAGAAACACTTTCTTACGAAATTATATATGTATATAACCCTTTTGCCATAGCAATACTATTTTTGTAATGAAAATAATGATATATTTGTTTCGCCTTTTAATTAAACGTATATAAAATTATACAATAAGTAATATATTAATAAAAACATTTCTGAAGCAATCCTCCTTGAAAAAAAAAATTATTAAAACTGAATATTTAAAACTACTTTTAGTATATGGCCAATTAATTTCCAAAACTCTTTCAAATGTTAGCATACATATAAATATATAAAGAAATTTAATTTTTTAATAAATTTTGCATTCCACATAATTAACGAATAGATTAATTGCTATTGCTAATAATTATGAAGTCATTTTTGTGTTAGTGCCATTAAAGGCTGAATAAATTTTGTTTAATAAAAAAATATCTAATATCCGTCATCTTTCTGTAATTCTATTCCCAACACAATGATTTCCTAAAGAGAATAATAATGTTAATTTTATACATTAAAATTTTTAATTTATTTAAATTATTAACATTCTATATCTATAATAAAATATTCATGATTATATTTATATAAAATATTTATATTATAATCGTATGTTAACACCTATAGTATAAGACTTTACAAGATTCTAATAGTATTTTAAGGCGAAATATATGAATTGAATTGTATAATAATCTAAAAGAACAGATTTGTAAATTATAATAATAATAAAATCACTCAACAAATCTCAATATTTTTGTTAAAACGAAACGTTCAAATGAATTCTAGAGATTTTATATATAGATAAGATTTGTACTTCATGTATTATATGCACATATTCATATTATAACATATAATATAGAAAAAATATCCTTCCAAAATCTTTATCAATTTAAAAAAGCAAAAACGAGATTTCTGTTTTTGGGATTTTTTTTTTTATTCTACATCTCCTTCTATAATATTCTGTATACAGTAAATTCCATATGATTTATTTTTTTCTATTAACTATTTACGCACTCCTGTTTATGAAAACTAATTGAATTCACTTTTTCACGAAATAATGGCATGGAAACTTTTAAGTATATATTTCTTGCCATTATTTTTATTTTTATAAATTTTTTGAATTTCTTTTACTTATGTTTTCTCTATTATTTTGTTTTTTTTGTTGCTCTGGACATTATTTTTCATCTATACCAAAATAAAAATGCTGACACACAATTTGTCTTTAGGAATTTTTTATTTGATTTCCTTTTTTTGTTATAGAAAGAAAAAAAGAATACAAAATCTTTTGTTTTTCAAGGAACCCTTTTGTTGTATTTTTCAACAAAAATACAAAAAAAAAAACTAAAAAAAACTAAGAGGTTTCACTTAAATTATTAGCTAAAAGGATATTCATCGTTTTATAGATGGCTTAAAAATAAAAAAAAAACACACATACAATCCGAATTAATGAAAGAAAGAAATAATGTTAACACATTTTTATTAAAGAACTTTTTAAGGAAACCAAAACTTTAGATTTATTTTATTGTTAAAAAATCGATAAGGTTTTACAATACTAATATTCTCTTAAATCTTATGTATGAAAATATTTTCTTATAATAAACAATGAATTTTTAAGTACTAAACATAATTTTTATAAATTTATCTGAACAATTTAAATTCAAATTCGTTGCTATACAATTAAAAACTTTATTTTTGATTTATTTTTAATTTTCAGAGTGGTGTTGGACAGTAAAAAAAAAAACGGAAAAAGGTGTATTCGCGTAATTGTTTATGACAAGAACAAAAAATATTGCAAAAGATTTTTGTTCCATTGTTGGTAGATAGGTATAATATGTTGGTTAAGAATGTAGTAAAATACAGAAACCGTTATTTTAAACCGTTGTAAATGATTCTATATGGGAATAGGTAGGTAAACACTTTATTTGTAATATAATAATGAAATGATTATTCGGGTTTTACCATCTTTAATTATATGTATACATGGAAAAAGAATTTAACTGGAGCTATAATAAAATTTTTTAACTTAATGCTGTTCTTATAAAAAATGGATCTAAACAAAAAAATTAAAAAGTAATAAGCGATTATTACTGTAAAATTTGTGATTATCTATCTGAAATTGATGGCCAAATTTAATTAAAATTTTCTAATAACTGACATGGCTTATTAAAAATTCTTCCAATTGTGTTTTAAATATTCCTAGATTTAAGTAAAAACTTTTGCGTAAATCTGTGATAAAAAACTCCACCCACTTTTCAAAAGTTGCAAAACTAAACCTGCAAATGTATTATGCATGTTAACGAGAAGGAACATATTCCTACATATTACTTGATATATAATAGAATGATATTAATTAGGTATGCATACCACGTAATTACATCCGTAACACTTCAGATATTTTCTGGTTAATCCATCGTTCTCTGTTCTGATCCATTTTTTAAGCTTTGATATTTAAAATATTGAACATCATCTTGCCAAGAAAAACACATCAATGTTAAGCTTGAAATAATTTTCTCTTTGCAAATATGCACCGGTAAATGCAGTTTTCAGCTAAATTATTTATATTCTTTCCTTTTTTTAAAATTTAATTCTTGGAATATTGTTTTTGTAGGCCGCTATGCATTTATTTCTATATTTTTTAACAATGAACAAAATTTAACCCACCGTTACCACCGTTTAATCAAATTGATACATTAGCTGGTCAAAGTTTAAATACAACTGTTTTCCAATTTTTATGATAATATAGAAACTTGCCAAGTTTTATTGACTTTCACTATTTCTACTTCACTACTTCGTTGTAGTTTAAACTGAACTATTTTAATTAAAGTCGAACTAATTCCTTTCTTATCATTTATCGATTTTTTTCTTATAAAGTATTTTACTTTATTTGATATTTTTAACAAGAATTATATATAGTTTTGGTGATGGAGTATATAAACAAATAGCAAAATTGACATTTTATAACCTAACCAATGAATCCAGTCTTACAATCATAAAAATAATTTATAATTTGTGTAATCGTTTTTTAGCTAATAAAGTTACCGAAAAAATACAATTTATGAATATTTAATTAGTTAAATACAGCTACTTTTTTATTTACTACATTTTAAAAATAAATGTAGCAAAGTGATACGTAGTTTCTCTTTGATTATTTATAAGCGACATAACTATTAATTAATCAAATTTAATGTCAAAATGACAACGAGTATTTAACTTCAGAATTTAGTAGTCAGCTGACAAGTATTTTTTTGATACATGCATTTTTCTTTCTTTATTATTTGTAATGAATTTAGAAAAGTTAAATAAATTAATATTAATTAGTTATCGAATAAATAAATAAATAAATAATTGCTGAGTAATATTTTTTGGATAATTTCAATTTTCGTATTTTTTGGATTAAGTATTAACAATGGATAGTAATAGAGATGAATCAGGTAAATATTACTATACATTCATGTTATACACATTATATGTTAATTAAAAATCGATAAATTCCGTTCTAAATGTATGAACAAATAGAAATAAGAAAAAATTAAGAACGAGTTTAATTGTTTCAGAACGTTGTATAGATATAGCTGTCGAAGCCTTAAATGCTAGTAATTATGAAAAAGCTGAAAAATTTTTAAGAAAAGCCCAAATTCTTTATCCATCACAAAAAGCAACCGATTTATTGCATCATTTGAAAAAAATTTATAACCCAAAAAATGGTGTACATCAAAGAAGAAAACCACAAGAAGAAAAAAACAATACACCACCAGATCAAGAAAATTCTCAAACTTATACCAAAGAGCAATTAGATTTAGTGAAAAAAATTAATAAGGCTAAAGATTACTATGAAATGTTAAATATTACTAAGGAAGCTACAGATTCTGAAATAAAAAAAGCATATAAAAAAATTGCTCTTCTATTACATCCAGATAAAAATAGCGCTCCTGGTTCATCAGAAGCTTTTAAATTGGTGGGAACTGCAGTAGCTACCTTAACTGATCCGAAAAAACGAAAAGAATACGATTTTGTATCAAAAAATCCGTACATTACAAACAGAAGAGAAAATAATTTTAGCAACGGAAGCGGATTTTCTGGCTTTCATCACCATTTTCACAGTAATTATGAAAATGATCGTTTTGAATCTGAAGTATCACCAGAAGAATTATTCAATATGTTTTTTGGAGAATTTCCATCTCAAGAGAGAAGACGTTTTAATAGTAGTAATCATCAACATCACGAAACTGGTCCACAACCTAGTTTGGCATTTGGTCTCATATTAGTTTTAATTCTGATATCGATGTTGTCGTCGTTCTTTACATCAGACCCACTATACAGGTTGTCATATTCAAAGTAAGTATCTATTATTTTAAATTGGATGTTGTACATAGCGGTATACAAAAATTTATTTTAATTGTAAATTTTAGTAATTACAATGTTCAAAGACACACAGTTCATTTAGGAATACCGTATTATGTAAAACAGAGCTTCGCTGATGATTACCAAGGTTCTGTAGCGCGTTTAGAAAGTTCAGTTGAAGAAGACTATATAAATACTATGAAACAAAATTGTTTCCGAGAAAAAAATTATCGTAAGTAAATTGTTATTTAACGTTCAGTTTTTGAACGATAATTAAAAAAAAATCTAAAAATTTCAGGTGAAGCTATGATATCAAGAGCTCGGACATTTGGTTCGCGTTCACAAATAGCTCAAGCTCAAGCGCTAAAAATACCATCCTGTGAAAATTTAGCAAAAATTGGATTGACAAGATATGCAATGTTTTAATACAAGATACAGTATTTTCATTTGCTTATGCGACACAATATGAATTGAAAGAATGTATGTATTATATGTACAGTACAAATTTTTTTCATTTTCATTTAATTAAATTTTTACATATTCATATATTAAGTTAAATTAGATAATTTTGTAACAAAAATGAATCAGTATTTTAGAAAATATTGTGTCATTCAAATGAATAATAGAGCTTCAGAAGATGAAAAATTACATGTATCATAAGTTTATCAAAACAAAAGTGAAAGTATATCAACATTATAATTGTGGACGTTCATAAAAATTATTTTTTTGTTATTTTTTGTTGTAAAATATTGGTTGTTAAATTTTATTATTTGCAAAAATTAAGACAAACTTAATTTATTTATGTATCTATTAATTGTTGAATTTCTTGTTTAATTTAAAATAAATCTTTTAAATACTGAATAAAATAATTTGATGCCTTTCTTTTTTATCGCATTTCATTTTTTCAGTTTACGTGTTGATGCGCTAACGTTTAGAGATGAACTTTGGGCAATCATATCTTAATCGTGTTTTGGAAATTAGCGATTATGTCAATGACTAAGTAACTAATCAAAAAGATTACAAAAAGAATTATATAAATTGAAATTCAGATCAACCTTGTGAAAATAAATAATTCAATTTTAAATATTTACATTATTTTGTATTTTACCTACAAATTCTTATAATTTTTAAATATTTTTTTCATCAAAACTTTTTATGTATAATGAGTTCAAAATTACAAATCATCTATCATTTAAAGGTATAACAACAATATTAGAAGTAAAGATACAAAAAACCTTTAAAATTTTTTAAAAATAACATATTCCAATTAAACATAGAAAAACAAGGGTGAAAACATAGAAATTCTTTTATAAGAAATGATTAAAATTAAAGAATCCAAAAATATAATACACAAACGAAAAATATTATTCCGACTGCTGCTGCTTTCATATACATTGATTTACGATTTAAATAAGTTGCGTCTTTTTTATATTTTTGAGACATCATTGATAAATTTTGTGTCTTTGTATCCAATTCGGATAAAACAGCGCCACGCTGTAAAACATCATCTATGTTTTGAACCTAAAATTTGATATACATACTTAGAAAATTAATTTTCAATGAATTTTTAAATTGTAGGAAGTCGCTAATCTTTACCATTATTCTTTGAACATCTTGTAATTGGGTGTTTATTGTATTAATATTCCTTCTACGATCGGTTAATTGTTTTTTAGCTTTCTGTATATAAACATCAAATTCTATGAATGCATATGGTCTTGTCACAGTGTTAACTCGTCTTCCATAACTGTTATGAAATTCTTGTGCCAAGTCTTCTAAATAATTAAATGCCAATCTTTTGGAATACATCTTATCACACATAACTAAATAACATACGTCATTTTCTATCAAATAACTAAATTACATTTAAATAAATTATGTGATAGTTTCGTAACTCAATTTTGTACTTACTGAAAGAGATATGGACCAGTTTCAATACTACATCTTGAAGGTGAATGTGAACTTAATTTACGAAATAATAGTTTGGCTTGATTTTGATACTCTAATATGCTTCTTCCAGTCTAAAAAAGAGAGCAAAGAAAAATTAAATGATAAATGGTAAAAGTTTTATGAATTTTTCTACTTACATTTTCATCATCTTGCATTGTACCGACCAGAGGAAGTCCGTCAATAACTCTTGCAATCATTGTAAGTAAAGCCATGGTTTAATACAATTTTTTATTGTTTGTTTTTACTAAAATCCTATAAATTAAATATATTCTTCGATATACTATCTCTTAAGCATACCAAAGTGTATAAAATTTAAAAAATAAATCCCAAATTTAAGTAACGTCAACACGTCAGCAGTTGTGATGGGACAAAAATATCGAAAATGTGTTGGTGAAAACCCTAAGGTACAATCGATTATTTCTGTTTTATAAAGAGAAGTATAAATCGATTTATGAATAGAATTGTTTGATTTGAATTTAATATAACAAAAATGTCTATTCAAATATCAAAAATACATTTTTGTTAGTCGTGGCTTTTAAATTCGTTTTTTTTTTCATATTATGTTAGGCATTAGTTTTGGCTATATTTACATATCAAATATTGGCGAAGATTACAAGTCGAGTGTTCAAGTCAATTTAATTTTTTATTTTTTTAGCTATTAATTCTTCAGTTAAAAGTTATAGTGTAATTATCTATCACTTTTTCAACAATAACCTGTAATGCGAATACTGAATGTGTAATCTTCTCCATTGTTCATGGATTTTTCTCAATCTAAAGAAAATTTGATAAAAGTAGTATTTGTAAATGTTTTTGAATTCTATTCAGATATTGTTTCTTTGACAAAATAGGCAGTTTAAAATGGTGGAAATTAGAATTTTTATTGTTTTCCTTTGTAATTTTATATTTAAACATTTGTTCAACAAACATATTATCATATGTTTTTTTTTTTTGAATATTTTCCCTTGAATTGCTTAATAAAAATGTTTAATGCTGATGAAATTTTGATTTTGATTCATACCTAAAGCAGTGGGCTATATCAATGTTAACAAATAAAAAGTATATTCGTTATGTTATTTGCAAACATTTTTATTCATTTATTATTTACTTTTACAAATGACGTTTCAGTTAAGGGCGCATTTTAATTGAAAACGAAGATAAAAAAATTTACTTATTTAGTAAAATTATATTTATAAAAGTAAGTTTAGCTTCACCTCTTGTCATATATTTAGAATATATATTATATTGTCAAATTGTACCACAATTTTTTTTAGCGAAACCTGGTTCCTCTATAAAAAGTCATTTTTGACAATTAAATGTCATTATAATAACGATAGAAAGATAGTTGTCATTTGTCATTAGTCGGGCATTTGGTATCATTAAAATATATAGTATAATTGTGTGTTTAGAGTGCAGTTCTAGTTAATTTTATTCATTTAATTTGTAAAAAAAAATTGTTCTAAACAAATTTTAACCATAAAAAATTCACATTATCCGATTAATATTTCGGTAAATCGTGTGATTTTTATAAAAATTTAATATTAATAACAAAGAAACAGGTTTTACAGTTCACACCTGTATTAAAAATGTAGTTTTCTAAAAATTTTATGTTAGAGAAGGACAAGTGTTTTTGTAGTATGTTCATTTATTTTCAATACTTCAACAATTCGACTAATTTTTAGTTGTCAACCTGGCATTTATATAAAAAAAAAAATTAGTAGTAAAATTTTCTAAAATTCAATTTTATTGGAATATATAAAAAAATTCATGAAAAATTATGTATTAAATTATATAACCAAATTTATCATTTTGGCTTGAATATAAAACAAATTAGTAAAATAATTTTTAATTAGAAAATAATAAAATTAAACAAATAAAACAAAAAAAAAGTTAGGTGGAGACAGAAAACGAAAAAATATTCCACGTAAACGACTGAACTGTCTAAATATGTATATACATATGTAACTTATAAACGTCACTATATACAGTGGCCTAAAAGGAGACAAAAAAGTTGCAAATAATTGTTTCTTATATAAAATTTTTTTAAAGTGATAAAGAAATAATTTAAAAATATAAAAAAGAAGTCACATTTCATAGGTTTTAATTGAATTTGAAAAATTCTTTTAGACCACTTTTAATAAAAATTATAACACTTAATAAATGCGAAATTTATTGCAAGAGAAAGGAATCAATAAATCAATATGTGGATGCCACAACAACAAGAAAATAAGCAGCAGTATCAGCAGTCTGCTAATATGGTACCCGTCAGCGAAGTTGGCTTAAATACATCTAATTATGTACAACAAGAGGTAAAAAAATAAAAAATAATTAAATTTTATTAATTATTTACATATATGTATATTGAATAACTCTAACTACATAGATATATATTATATTCATACATATATAATTATTGGCAGAATTGTAAATGTAAATGAACGTATTATTTTTTAATATGCCTATAGAAATTTATTATTTTCATACACAATACATATGTATGCATGCATGTTAGTATATCTATCTGAATCAAAATATAACTAAGTATAATCTGATTGAAATAAATATGTATGTATTTATATATTATAATAAATTTCTTTGTAGGAAAATTCAAATATTGAACTTTAGGCAGGTACGGGAAATTTTTCTTTTTATAGAAGGAAAAAAGTGAAATAACTACGTACATATATAATTTTTGTTAAAATAAAGATCAATACTGGCCAATATTTCTGTCGATCTAGTTATTCTGGTCCACTAGTTATTTAATAAGTATGTATGTATGTAGGTACATACATAGCTACATACTTACCTACCAAGTCATCGATATAAAAATTATTAATTTTTAATTAAGCGGGGAAGAAGATGGTCTTATTTGGCTTTTTATGTTTTCATGTAATTAACAATTATATTGATGGCACGTTTTTGAACTAATTATATTTTTGTATACCACATAAATAATTTAGTTTTTTATATTTTTATAAAATCAAGGATTATTTGGTGGTATATACTTTTTATATTGAATGAGATATTTTTATATTGGTTAATAGCGATATTAATTTTAAATTTAAAATAATTTAAATTTGCAAAACAGTGTAATCAGCCCATATCTTCTTATAAACCTATATCGAAAATTCAAATATATATCGCAATTACATGCATCTAATTGATTTAATGGAATTCAAAAATGTTGAAAATTGATATATGTATATAGGTAGGTAGGTCCCTATATAATAAATGGAACAAAAGTGCTTAATCTGCTGTTTGATTTGTATTTCTTTTTTGTGTGTAAGCATTAAATATTTGTGCATAAATACCTGGTTAAATATATATCACACTCGTATTTCCATTTTATAAAAGAATTACCTAAGTATAAGAAAATTTTAATTATGACCTATACCTATATTATCTATCCCGCTAGGTACTTTTGTTATAAGTATTAAGTAAAAAATAATTTAGGAATAAGTAATGTAGTAATATAGTAACCTACCACCTCCCTATCTACTTATACTTAAAAAATGTATTTGTACTATTAGAAAAGGAAAGCATTTTTTAGTAATTAACAATGAATATGTGTAGGTATATATGTAATTCAAATATTGAGTAAAATTTTGATGTCTGTCTGCCAATGTACGTATTTTTAAATTTGCTTCTTTGACTTCTGACTAACACTGTTATACTAGTCTTAATTCTTTAAGTGCTTAATATTTTAAACCAAAAATTTTCTTCTTGAAATTAAATTTACATACTTAATCCGGTTTTTAAATTCATTGACCTCTTTCGACGTTATTTTTAATATATACCAGCTTTATTTATCTTGTCAACATCGTATAAAATTGAATTAAGTAATCGATTGCTAATTTTTAAATATAAATGAAAAGAAAAATTTACCTACCTATACTTATGCATTTTCTGGAGCATTTAAAATATATTAAATATTATTTTTTCGTTGCAATTCTAGACTTGAGATAAGGCAACATTTAAATCATATGGATTTTTATTATTTTATATGAACTTACTCGAAATTTATTTTTTTCTTTGATTATTTATGAATACATACTTGTTTAAATAAATACTTTGTCATATCAGTGTTTATAGGTATTTACTTTTTTTTTTGAAACAAAACATATAAATCATGCATTTTTTTTTTTATTCTAGATTTACTTTTTCATTTTAATAAACTGATTTGAGAATTTTACGTATGTTGTGAACTTAATGATCTAAAGTTAACTTTATTATTTAAAGATAAATTATTATTTGTACAAGTGAGGAAAATAAAGAATTTTCGAAATTTTATTTATATACTTATATACATATAAGATAATATTTTGTAAGTAGATACCTATTTAGCTTCCAAATAATATTATTCAAAACCTGTCTATTTAAGTACCTAATTTTAGAAATTACTTGGATATTTGTTTGTTAGAAATATATAATAACGTTTTTAAAAATGACACCCAAAACTTTATATTTTTACATATAAGTATATTGTGTAGTTGATCCTAATTGCATAATATGTAATTTTATTAATTTGAAAAATTATCAAAAAAATTTTATAATATTCTTTTAGTGGCAGTCACAATTACCGGTTAATTATGCTAATTATCAACAACAAACCAGACAACCTCAAGTGCAAACACCATATCAAACCAATGCAATGAAACCGCCTCATATGCAAACGCAAGGGAATTGGCAAACACAACCTTTACAGGTTCCAACACCATTACCACCACAATATGCTGATTTTGTTCAACAGCCACATCAGCCACAAATATCAAATAATCTATTTAAAAAACAACAACAGGAATCACAACAGCTACAGCAATCGCATTCGCAACAATCTCATCAACCGCAACAGCAACCTCTACCTCTTCAACAGTCACAGCAACAACATCAACAGCAACAACAGCAGCAACAGCAGCCGCAGCAGCAACATTTAATAACATCTCAAACAAGTACATATTTTCAACAACAACAACCTATGCAAGTTCCAATGTATTCAATGTCATCAATAAAGACTGAACAAAATAATATTCTTTCTATCAATACTGATCCAATAAATAGCTTTTCCAATAATTTTGCTGTATCTTCTGATCAGCAAACTCCAGGAAACAATAATACACCAAAATTAGAAAGCTTTTTTGAAAAGGGCAATAAAAAAGATGGGGATGGAGTTGATGGATGGGATGATTGGGAATGGAACGATTTGAATATACAGAAAGAATCTACAGAATCTACATCGAAAAATCAAACTTTCAATAGCAACTTATTGGAACAATCCTTTAATCAGCCACAAGATCAGTTACAACAAAATCAATATCGAAACACACAACAAGATCAACCTCCTAGATCTCAAAATCAACAGGAGCAGCAAAAGATAGCGCAATCCCACAACATTTGCAATTCAAATGAAAATGATGATAAAAATCAACAAATACAAAATTCACAATCCAGACCAGTTTTAAGGGATTTAATAAATGATAATTGGCAATGGGGATCTGAAGATTCTAGAGAGCATTTTGTCAAAAGCAATGACAATGTTGATAACAAAAATGAGGACGCATTTACTATTGAAGACAGCTTCAAAACGAATAACAATAATAACTTTTATGTTCCAACATCAAATCCACAACCACAAATTGTTCAAGAAAATAGCCAACCTCTCCAAGAAAAGCAATCTGCTCATCAACTACAACTATTAAAACCTAATAATCAGTCCAATCAACAACAACAGAAGCACACTAGTTCACAAAATTTAGAAAATGTTCAAAGTCCGCTTGGAAATAATCAAGTGTTCATATCACAAGCAAAACCAGTTTCTCAACCTCCAAAACAGTTTGCTAGTCCTCCTGGGCAAAATCCTTCTCTATTTGGTCAAATGCAAGTTCCGGACATATCAAAAATTCCACCGCCACAAATGCCTTTGGAACAAACTATGTGTCAGGAAGAAAGTACCGCAGAAAATAAAATGATGCAATTGCCTCCGCCACCTTTGATGCATCAAAGTCAAACAGCTTCTAATCCGTTTAAACGAACAGGACCGGCCCATCATGGAAAAGCTGGTGCTTTACTACAAGCTTCAACAAAATCTAATAACTCAATACAGCAACCATCTGTTGGAACTCCTTTTTTCAGTCCACCGCCTCCGGAAGGTTTTCAAAATTCTACACAACAAAATTATTCATCATTGCAAAATCAAGAAAATCAGGAAATTATTTCACCCGAAAATTCTGAAATTATTAATGATGTTAATGAAAACGTTGAAGCAACAAGTGATAGAAATCGTTATATGCAAATATCACACTTGTCTGAAGACGGTAGTGAATTTCATCACTCTAACCCACAGTCGCAACAGTCAGGAAGAAAAAATGAAGATCAAAGTAATGAAAATGATGCATTTCCACCACCAGGTCTTTCCAGACTTGTGTTAGGTCAACCTGAAACTGAAAACACAACCCTACCTCCTCCTCCTATATCATCTATTTCACAAAACACTTCTTCAAATTATATTCCACCAGATTTTGATCGAATGATCCCAGGAACTGAGTTGGCTTCATCTTCAACATTAAATTTGGAAAGGCAAGCTGATGGTCAGGATACAATACCATCTCCGATTTCTGCTTTTACGAACGTCCAAGTGCAAAGTGCAGACATTGATGATGAAATAACATCAGACAGAAATCTCTATCAAGTTCCTGGGAAAAGCGAGCACAACGAGCATCAACAGTCTCAAATTTTCGTTCAAACTGTACCACCAAATAACGTAGCATTGTCAATGCCGCAACACCAAAATGAAAGAGTTGTAACTGGCGTAGAAAATAATAATTCAACCAATCAGATGAATAACAATCAGCGGGAGTTAGAACTAGATGGGGAAAACTTGGAAGATGAACAGCAATTCCATCAACAACAGCAATTAAATAGTGGGAAAGTTTTTGGTTCTAATCAAATAGACCTTGAGATGCCATCATTGCGAGATGAACCAATAGAAGGTAAAATTTTTGATTATTTTATAATTCCATAATTCACATTACATTTTTTAAATTTTTAAGGTGCAAATACTCAAGATTTTATTAAAAAAGCTGATGTGAATAAATCTAACGAAGTTGAATCTAACTCAACAATGGGTATAAATGAGAAGGTAGTGCAATCTTTGCCGTCTACAGCAAATGATGAAAGTGATGAAAAAGGTGAGAGGTCAAAAATAGGGCGTAGGAATTCTCGTCATTTAGATGACAAGAGATCAAAAAGAAGCAGTGAAAATGAAGCTCATATGGAGTATGATCCAGTGGAGGACAAGAAAAATGATCGCTTCTTTAGTGATGGATCTGACAATTCCAGTGATAACAGAAACAAAAAACGTCCATATCGGGTCGAAAATGCTAAAAATACTCGTGAAAAATACAAAGGAGGTAGAGGTGAACGGAAAGAAAAGCAAGGTAGTGGACTTTCTGCCAAAAATCGTGAAGTTGGTAGAGATTACCGTGTCCCGAAGAACGAACGAAGTGATGATGAGCGAAACGATTTCGAACGCAATCGTCGAAGAAATAATGAAAAACAACGAGATCACCACGAGAGAGATCGCGATTTTAAAGATAGAAAATCTGAAAGGAATCGCGACCGTGACCGTGATAGAAATCACGAGCGAGGTCATAGGCAAAGGCGTTATGATAATGATTCTCGTTATGAAACTGAAGGGTCACGTTACTATCGTGGTGGTGATAGCGATCAAGATTATATCTCAAGTAATCGTCGAGACGAAAAGGATCGCCGTTATAAAAAAAGAGATGAGAAGGATGATCGAAGAGAATATGGTACCATTGAAAATCGTAGAAGAGATCGTAGGAGAGATCGTGATGATCGAGATGAATATAGTTTTGAGGAGAGAAAAGATAAACATCGTAGAAGTAAAAAGGAAAAAGGAAACCGATCAGATTACGATGATGATTATCGAAAAGGTAGCAGCAGTCGTAATGCAAGCGAAAGGGAAAGAGATGTTCGTAGTTCCGGACGTGATAAGGATCGTTATTCACAAATGTATGGTGGTTATTCAAATGTGTATGGTTATGATCCTTACACTTACTATCAGCAACAACAACAATATTACGAGCAGCTGAGAAGAACTAATCCTCAGGCCTATATGGAATGGTACAATAAGTACTTCTCCGAAAATGGAGGTCAATTACATCCAGATATCTTAGGTGCAGTCGCCACTAGTACAATGACTGTCGGAAGTGGGGCAGATGGTAGAGAATCTGTTCACTCAGGTAGAAGTTCTGCAAATAATGAAAAAGACAGGTATACTAAGATTTATTAAATTATATTAAGAATATTTAAATCTCAATTATTCGGTTTAGAGTTGATAATTTATCTTTAACAATTGGTGATAGTGCCTCTTTGACTCAGGAGTTACATCGATTAACTCCTCAGAAATTCAATAATGAACATGCAATAGTTTCATTGTCAGCTGGAGTCATGGTTTGTGTTAAACCTAGATATATGCAGAAAAATGGATCTAGAGTAGTCAAAATTTTCAAAATTGGTTGTAATGACTCTACGCGTCGTTTATTTCAAGCATTTCCTGGACCTCTAGTGCGTGGAATCACGCATAAGAAAACCATCATTGAATTTTGTGAAGATCAAATACGCTTGGGACCACCATCTTTGCAAAAAATTCACTCTAGACAAAATTCTATGTCAAGTCTTAATTCCCTTAGTCAATCGAACAAAGCGTCTTTCGTATTGATGTACAATTTACTTATTTTGTTGTTAAGACAGAACGGGGTAAATTAAGATTTGCAGTTCATTTAGATATAAAATATTACATTTCTTGAAAATATTTCAGGTTGTTATTGGAACAGATATAGCAGAGTTGTTGATTAGAAATCAAAAAGAGTTTCCATACGAAAATGATGTTCGTTATACAAGAAAATCTCTTTATAAAGAAAATTCAAATGATTTCCATAAAGAAGAGAGTTTGGATGATGAAAATCCTAATGAATTTAGTAAAAGCGAAATAGATACTGATACCGACAATCAGGAAAACTCTGGGGATAATGAAGATAGTTTAATTAAAAAAGTTAAAAACTTAAAATTAAATTCAACTAAACATGGTAAACGTCATGTAAGCGAAGATGAAGTAACAGATAAATTTCGAAATTATTTACTATATGGGAATATAAATGAGGCTTTAGAATGGGCCACAGATAATAATTTATGGGGCCATGCCCTATTTTTGGCATCAAAAGTTGATCGTCGTTTATATGCGAATGTTATGATGAAGTTCGCCAATAAATTACCATTAAACGATCCGTTACAAACTTTGTATCAATTAATGAGCTATAAAACACCGGCAAGTGTAACAAGTGTTCTAGACGAAAAATGGGGTGATTGGCGACCGCATTTAGCAATGATTTTATCAAATACCTCACAAAGACCTGATCTGGATCGAAGAGCTATTACAACATTAGGCGACTCGTTATATAATAGAGGAGATCACTTTGCAGCGCATTTTTGCTTTTTGATGGCTCAAGTTGGCTTTGGTACTTATAATGATGCTGCCAAGCAACATGAGACGTCGTATATGTTAAATTCACAAAACGCTGTCAGGTAAATAATAATAAAAAAGAAAAATATGATTTTAAATTTTCCAAAACCTTTTTAGGTTGATTCTTCTGGGCTCACCCTTCAACAAAAACTTCAGAGAATTTGCTTATAACGAGGCAATCATGATGACAGAGATTTATGAATATGCTTGTTCATTAAACGATGATAAATTTTCGATTCCAGAGTTTCAGGTAAAATGTTATATCCTATTCATAAAATTATAAAAAAATTTGTAATTTTCATTTAATTTTTTTACAGCCTTATAAATATTTATTAGCTACGCGCATGTTGGATTATGGTTTCCAAATGAAGACTTTAATGTATATGGAACAAGTTTCACTACATATACAACTTGATCCATCTCGATATGAAATGTCATTTATATCAAAAATTTGTGATTTTTCTGATAGATTAAAATTTTATGATCCAACCATAGAAAAAACGCTGGATAATTTAGACCCAAATGACCCTAAATTTGCAGAAATCATTGATCAATTTGAAAATCAAAAATGGTTGCAAAACTTACAAAATATTTTAGGAAGTTATAAGGTAAAATTTATTTTATCCTTTTTATTTGAAATTATTTTCAAATGATTTGTTTTTCAAATATAGCCTGATGTAGTTGCCTATAGGCACCAAGATAGTTTCGATGGAAGTTCAACTTATAGTAATTACGAATTAAATGTTCAAAATCAACCACCCCAATATGATCAACAAAGTGAAAACATTAATGATCAATTTCGAGCTATTAATCAGCAGTTCTATGAATTAAATTCTCAATACAATAATATTCCCAGTTATTCAGTAGATTCATCCAATAATCAACAACAATTAAAACAAGAGCCAGCTCAAAATTTGAATATGGTGAGTCTTAATTCAACAATAGGCGCCGAATATCAGCAACAACAAATTGAATCCTCTCAATTTTATGATCCAAGTAAAATGCAACAAAATCAAGAAAATAATGTAGTTGACAATAATAGTTTGCAAAATGTACAATTACAATATCAGCAACAGCCACAGCAACAAAATGCACAACAATTGCAACAGATACCACCACAGCAACAAGAAATACAGCATCAGCAACAACCTCAAATAAATCAAAATATTAACTTATATGGAGTACAAGATACAAACCAATTAAGTATCCAATCGCAGCAACAAAATCTTATGAATAATCAAAATGGATATGATTATAACGCTTGGAATCAGTCAAATGAACAAGGAAATGATGAGGTAGGTGCATAATATTATTTTTTGGAAAATTATAAAATAACAAAAATTAAATTTTGGATTTGGGGGAATTTATTTCGTATGTAAATATCAATATTTAAATAAATACTAATATAAAATCGTTTTATGATTGATGATTTTAGTTTTTGTCATTGGGTATTGTTTTTTTTCTCTTATTTTACGATAATCTCATTATCATTGAATTCATATATCTTTTTAAGCTTTATATCAAAATTATTTTAGAATTTAATTATTTCTTACCAAAAAGATTATCTTTAAAAATAGAGAATTTACAAAGACCAATTTTTAAATGAAATAAAAACAAAGATTTCGAAATGTGAACCAATTTTTCTTATCAAGTATACTTACTTTAATATTCTCTTGTATAATTTGATGCCTTTATTATAAATAAGAAAAATATTTCTTTTTGTAAATAGTCATTATTTTCTTATAATGCAGCTAAAGGATTCTATATCTAAAAATATTGCACCTGTAATTGAGACCGTTAAAATTAATCCCATAAAAAAATCAACTGCTAAAGATATTATAGAGTCTGTAAAAGATAAAGTTGTAACAAATAATTTTGATCAGCGTAACTATGATTTTGATCAAAATCAAAAACTTTCATGTAGCGAAATATTAGCAATTAAAAAATCAATTGATAATAAATTTCGAAACGATATCGGTGCAATTAATTCAGGAACTAATAGCAAATTAATTTCAAAAGTTAATTTAACAAAACCTTCTTCGGTACAACAACAACCAAAAGACCGTGATAACAAAATAAAAAAAAGTTCATTACAATCAACAATTACCAGTAAAAATGTTATGCAATTAAAACAACATGGCCTTAAAGAAAGTCAACAATTATTACAAAAACAGCAGCATCAAGAATCTCAATCCGTACCGCAACAATTCAAATTGCAACAGCAGTCTGTAAAAGAAGATGTAAGTAAAATTGAAAATAATAAATTTACAATGCCGGTTGATTTAAAATTAAATAAAAAAAAATCACTGATATCAAAAAATAGTAATAATAGTAACACTGACAATAATAATATACCGCTTGCTATTCGATATAATCATAATATTAATTTTTTTGATAATGCAAAATTAAATAAAAATATAAATACTACAACAGCAGCAACATCAATAACAACAACAACAGCATGTTATTCTATAAGATCATTGACAAATGAAAACAAAAATTTTATTGTTAATCAATCTCGTTCTCATATGGAAAATAGTTCTATTGCATCATCTTCAGTTGCAACAACTTCAGCAGCGTCATCCACTAGAATTATTAGTACTTTTACAAATAATCATCAGGATGGTATTTATGAAAAATCAATGCAATCAAAGTTATCATCAAAAGATTTTTTAGCAATAAAAGATGATAATAAAAGTAATAACATTGAAAATGCCTACAACATAAGTTTTAGTAAAAATGTAAACCAAAGTATAAAATCAACGATTGCTGCAACTTCTTCGAGTTCAACATTACATTTTCGACCTAAAAATTCAATAGATTTTAATAAACAATTAATACCATGTAAAAAACATCATTCATTTTTATTTAATAATCAATCCATTATATATCAAAGTATTAATAATAAAACAGATGATAATAATTGTAATAATAATATTGCTAATAATAGAATTAATGATAATAGTAATAATAAAAAATGCTATAATTTTCATCTTGATAATATTGTGAATGATGATAACAATATTATGCCATTAAAATTAAATAATGAAACAAATAGATTTCAATTTAAAAATATTGTTTTTAATGGTACATTTCCAATTGATATTCCAATAAAAACTGTTCCTTGTAATATTGATAAAAAAATTAATAATAACAATAATAGTAGTATTAATAATACTAAAAATTGTAATTATGATGATAATAGTAATAATTTAAAAATAAAATCTACCATTGAAAAACGTTATCATATACCAAATATTATTGAATTAAAAGATCAACAACAAAAACCAAATTTAAATCATTGTAAAACATCTAAAAAAATCGCTAAACATATAAAATCTTATAGTACTGAAAATCTCAATAAAATTGATAAAAAATATGAAATTATTCAAGAAATCATTGATGATGATCATTCAATTAATAAAAATGAATCAAAAAATGTTGAAGGTGACGATAATAATGTTAAAAATGATAATTTTTATGATTATCGAAATTATAATTGTTATAATAATAATGAAGAACATTATGATGATGAAGATGATGACGATGATGATGATGATGACTATGATGATGATGATTTTATTGAAGAACATGATGACGATGATGATGATTTTGATGAACAAAATCATAAATCATATTCAATACAAGAATTAATTAAGAATCCATTAATTGGGGAACGTTTAAATTATGCAAAGATGTGCAGTGATGTTGAAAAAAATTTAACAAAATTTGAAAAATATTTAGATCATAAAAAATCTAAATCGGTTCGAACCTATGCAATTGATGATCCATTATAAAATTTTCGATTAAGAAAAAAAAAAAAAGAATAAATAAAAGTATTTATATTCAACATATATTTATTCATATATGTATATTTAACCAAATATACTTATATATTGAATAAAAGCAAAAAAAGAAAAAAATTAAAAAATCACGTATAATTTTGAATACTAATTAGCGTTTATCTATAATAATAATTTTCGCACCATAACTTTTTATTTTTTTTTTAATTTCTCTTTTTTGATTTTTCCTATTCTTTTGTTCATTTTTGTATATTTAAAATTAGTTATGTATATGTTGATATATTTTATTTAAATCCGTACTTTTATTTTTCTATATGATTTTTACTTATTCATAAAATTTATTTTTGTCTAACCATATACTTACCAATTATCAGTTAATGTATCAAAATAATTATATAATTTTAATGAAAGTAAGAACATTTAGAAGTTAAATAAATTAGTATTATTTGTGATTAGTATTTATTAGGATTCAGTTCAATCTTATATAGAAACGCATTTTGTTATTAGATATAAAATATGAAAAGAAATCTAATGTTAAACATTTCCCAGCTGATTTAAATCCCTAAATATACAGATAAGTATGTTTAAAATTTAGCCCAAAAACTCACCTATACGCTATAATGATACTGTGATATGATTTGTTTTTGTAATTTTCCTTGATTGCTGCAACTGTGCCGCAACTTTTTCCCATAAGTGAAAACAATACAAAGAAATTTTCAAATATCTTTTAAAATTGATAACTAAATAAAAATAAATAAAATTCCTTGATATAATTAAATAAAAATTAATTGCATTTCCTTATACATAAAGTGTTATTCTTCATATTTAGTGTTATTTAGTGTGTGTGAAAATAATGTATAAAATATAAACATTGTTTAGAGTATTAGATGAATTAGGTGTATAATGTGCAAAATAAAAGAAATAATTAGAAAAAAATTGTCGATCTCCATAAATTGATGTAACAGGTATTACAAAGATATAGGATTTTCAGCAAATACCATATAAAATTTTATATGGCCAAATGTAGACTTCAATGCTATTCTTCTGAATTCGTAGAAAGTATTTAAAGCAAAAAAATACTTTAATCTTTCAGATGCACTTAAGGCACTTCTCGTTATAAAAACTATATTTGCAAAAGTATATATACTCGTAACTACCTTGCTTCATATTTCACACTAATTTTTCATTAATTTCATTCAATTTTAAATATTCTTTTACTGCAGCGTTTTTTCTAAAAATTTTAATTTTGCTTGCAATACTAATAATTAAATTTATTTTTAATTGGGTGAGCAATATCATGCTTTATTCTAATAAGCTCTTCACGTTATAATTCCAACTCATCAAAAATTTTTCGTAAATACTACGGTACAATACTAACCCATAAAATACTACAGTGTACATGACGTAAATAAAAGTAAATAAAAACTTATTACCAAAACTTTTTTAAAACAGTTTCATTTGTAGATAAAATGAAATTTTTGAATGAAAGGCTTAATAATTTTGAAATGTAAATTATCAATGTTGATAAATATTTTAAATTTCAGAAAAAAATAAGTGTTATTCTTATGAATTTAGAACAATTTGTCAATTTATATTTAATTAATGTTGTAAAAAATATATGTATATCATAATTTATTATGAATAAGTTCTTTTTTAAATAAGAATTAAATGGCATGTAGATTGTAATTAACGTTTTATATTCTGCAAAATATTTGAAAATAACTATTTGTTTTTCAAGTAATCTAATAATTTAGCTAGTTCACTAACTTAACTAACATATTTTTTTTTCTATTAAATTTTCTGTTACCTATACATTTTATTTTTTTTCTTTATTCTACTTTATTTAATTTTTATTTCTTCATTGTTTTGTTTTTTTCTTTTTTGTTTTAATTTTCGTCAATTAACACAACCGGCACTTTTTGAAATGATTTTAATTTTTATTTTATTGCTACTACTTTTGTTAAAACTTAAAATAAAAATACATACATATTTAAAAAATAAAAAAATTAATAATAAAATTCAATAAATAAAAAATTGAAAAACCTAAAATGAAAAGGTTGCAAGGCCATCAATATCATTGCCAAACGCTAAAGCAAATCAAAATTCAAAAAGTTATTATGAAGATGATATTGGGAGTAGTAGTGGTGCACCAAAATCAAGTGATTTAAATAAACCAGACAATAATAAAGCAAAAGACGAAAGAAAATCTACAAATGTAAAAAAGGATCCAAAATTACAAAATAAAAGGTTTTTAAAATGTTTTTAATTTATATTTGAATGTTATTCAAAATTTGTTATTTTTATTTTTTTAATGCAGTTTAAATAATTCTTCACAAAATTCTGGTTGGTTTGAAGGTATTTGGAGTAAATTATCATTAAAACCAAAAAATCAAATGATATTACCTGATGACAAAAATCCGACAATCGTTTGGGATCCAGAAAAGAAGCGTTGGGTAAATACCGAAGGTGATGAAACTGAATCAGAAAGTTTTAAACCTCCACCAAAAATGTCTGATTTAAGAACATCAACGATGCCAATATCTAGCGGTAATACATTTAATACACCAGAACAACAACGGCTTCAACAGCCACAGTCACAATTGCAACAACAACAACAACAATATCCCCAATTGCAACCCCAACAGCAACAACAACAATTTCAACAACTTCAACAACCCCAACAATATTCTAATTATGATCAAATGCAATATAGTCCATCAACTTCACCATACCAAGAACAACAACAAGAACAACAACAAATTCAACAGCCCATAAATGAAAATTTATCTGTTAATAATTTATCAAATGATAATAATTCTGTTGTTCAACAAAATGTAAATGTTAAAGCAAATCAGGCTGGTGAAACAAACAAAGTTCCTAATTTGCAATCGAATATGTTTAAAATGCAACGTAATAGAAGTAAATACCATAAAGACGACAAAAAAAAAATTGAATTATTAATTAATTTTAATTTTTTTTTAGCATTAAAAAAATCATATGTTGATGTATTTAATCCATCAGGTGCTCCCCCACCAAAACCAGCTGAACCTATTTTAGCACCAGTTATACCTATAGCTGTACCTCAAAGTGGTTTCTTTATTCCAGCTCCAGTTGATGTTGACAATGATAATCAATCACAAGAGGTGGGTAGTAATATTAATAATAATTGAAAATTATTTGTTTCAAAAATAATTTCTTTAGATTTTCATTTTTTAATATGTTAAATCCATTATTTAATATTTATTAAATATTCAGTTTAATAAATTTATATATGTTTAAAAACAAAAAAAAGCAATTTTTTTTCTCTTTGTTAAATTTTCTGAAATAATAAAAATTTTCTTATTTATCCTTATATATTTTAAATGTTCCTTTTTGAAAAAAATAATTCATTTTAATTCTAGTTTATTGGAGAACTAAAATGTTGAGAGATTTTTATTTAAAAATAATTTTCCTAATATAATTTTATTTCTATTAAGAAAAAATATCAAATTTTGATTAGAAATTTATTTATTTATTTTTTTTTTATGTTTTTTTTTTGTCTCTTTAATACATTAAAGATACAGAATACAAATTCAATAGGTTATTCTATTTTTTTCAAATTGATGAAAATGAGCATTTCATTAGTAAAAATTGTGCATATATTTTTTAATATTTATTTCATATAAAAAAAAAAGAAAAAAGAAAAAAAATGCCAAAGAGACGGGGAAGAATATTTTTCATTATCATTTTGGTTAGTGAGTTTATTAGAAATAATATTTGTCTGTATAGTTTTTTTAAATTAAAATTTTTTAATTTCAGATAAAAAAAAATAGTTTCTTTCAATACTTTGGGAGATAATTAGCTTTCTTTACATACAACATAAAATTTATCTAAAAAGTATTTTATTAATCAGGAAAGAAAGTTTTCTTTAAATTATAATTTAAATATTATCGCTTAATTAATTATTTAAAAAATGTAAATAATTATATTTATATTTAACCATTTTTTTCCAATTTTTGATTAGAGCAATTTTTTCTTAAATTATTCTTGAGTCCTTAATATTTCTGTAGTTAATCATTTCATTTAAAGTTAAATTAAAATATTTAAAAATTTTTCAATATTATTAACAGTTGTTTTTAGAGTGCTTTTTTCCCTTCTACCCTCAAAACTTCTTGAAAACTTGTTTTGCAACTTTAATTAAACAAAAAAAAAGTCAAAACGTGAAACCAAAAAATAATAAGAAACAGATTTTTAAAATTAAATTTGTTTTGTACTAAAAAAAAAATTGTTTTAACATATTAATAATTTTTTTTTTTCTTTCCGAATTTGTCCCGAGTGAGATTACAAATTGACAAACTATTAAAATATTCAAACATACTATTTGAAATGATCAAATTATCATTATTTTAATATCATCATTATTTTAAATACGCTAGGCTTTTTCAAAATATTCATTTAGTAAAAATTCATATATGTACCTTTAATAGTTTAAATAGTATGCTAAATATTTTTTGAGTTATGTATATGTTGATATTATTATTTTGTGTTGATTAATATATAATATATTTTTTTTTTATTCTTTTCCATTGGAATTGCAGGGAGGTGTACCACAGTTCTATAATCCAAATCAATTTGGTGGTCATCAACAACAGTAGATAAATTTAAAAAAAAAAAATTTATATATATTTAAATAAAAAATTTGAAAATTTAAAATAAATAGAAAAAGAAAACTAATAAATATTTAAGTTATATAATTAATTAAAAAGAAAAATTTCATGTGTGTTTGTCTTTTGTTTTGTTATTTCCTTATTTTAGTTATTGTATTCATTATCTATCAATTCAAAATTAAAAGTATGAATAGGCTGTTATAACATAAAAGAAAAATAGAAAAAAAAAAACAAAATTAAAAAAAAAGAAACCGAATAAATAATTGTTATAGAATATTTAAGTTGTTATACATGAATAATGCTTAAATATACATTATGTATAAAAAATACTATTACTACATATTACCTACATATTATTATGATTTAAAATTTTGTCAAAAAACAGTATAAAATGTTTTATGTTTCCTTGTATTCCTTATGTGATTAAAAAATAAATATATATAAATTTTTATTTTAATATTCGAAAAAAGAAAAAAATTTTCATAAAAAAAACAGAATCATAAAAACTGAGATGAAAATGTATTTAATTTTTTTTTTTCCCCAAACCTAATGAAACATTAAGTAAAGTTCATCTAATATTAAATTTTTACTACAAAAAAGAAATTTAAAAAATAATTTAGCTTAACCATTTTTAATCCATTGTGAAATTTAATCATTGAAAAACAAAAAAGAAGTTTATATAGTTTAAAATATGAAAGTTAATTTAATTTACCTAAAAATGTTGTTTAATTTGTGCTTAAATTTGTTCTAATTAAAATAAAATATTTGCATTTAAACCAGCTATTAAATATTAAATTACATTAAATTGAAGCTGATACCATTTAATTATTAGTTTTCATTGAAATATTTGTAATATTGTTTTTTTTTTTTTTGTATAGTTTAATTTTTATTAAAATTTTGTTTTATTTTCATTATTTTAAGTTGATATTATTTATAGGTTCTAATATCCATGATTTTTATTTTAAAATGTTCATAATTATATATGCATATACTCTCAATTATATATTTACTTTTTATTAAAACAAAATTGGTGCTGGTCTCAAATTATCTGAAATAACTTTTTTTTCTTTTTTTTAATACAACATTATAAAGCAGTGGGAGTTTAAAATAAAATAGATTTAATTATTAAATGGTTAACGATATAAACTGAAAAAATAATTCATTAGTTTTTGTCTTTTGTTCTAGTTTGGCATATAAGAAACATATTCGGAAAGTTTATTAATTGAAAAAATTTATTATGTACAATATTGTTTATTATAAACCTCCAATATAATCGAACACGATAATTCATTTGCATGCTATATCATCAGTGCACATAAAACTATTAATTACATAATAGTCTTAAATATTTTTTGCATATTTATCTTAGATGTTTTAATAAGGTAAATTTTGCATTTATTGAAAAAAGAAAAAATATAAAATTATAAAATAAAAAACATCTCCCAATTGTTTCCACAATATTACAGTTTTTTTTTGTTTAATTTGATCTATTCTTAATTTATTCTTTTATTTTGTTCGAAGGGAAACAAAAAATGAAAAAATAATATGTAAAAGTATAATTTATAATAATACTATAAGATAAATCTTATATAAGAGATTTTATTAATTTATAATATTAAAACTTTTGCATAAGAGAACGAAATTTTCTTTAAACATCCTTTTTTTTTTGTACAAAATTTTTCTTATTTTCATTTTTTAAATATTGTATATAAAAACTAAAATGTTATTGTAAGCCAAACAACGTTGTATTATTGAAATAAATTAAAAGACAAATAATTTTCATAAAAAATTCTTTAAAATGCGTAATTTGTAAAAATAAAAAACGTACATAAATGAAATTTATTAAAAGAAAAGATGCAATATATAAAAGAATCGTATATGTATAGTATTTTTAGAAAATTAAACTTTATAAAATTAAAAGAAAACTTAAAGAAAGAACAAAAAAGTTTTCTTGTAAAATTTTTGTATATTGAATATTCGATTAATTATTATCTTATAAAATTCTTTTGTAAATAATATAAATATTTAAAAGGATAATAAAAATAAAAGTAATATAATAAACTAATTAAAGAAAAGTAATTGTCATATTCGATTAAAAAAACAAGAATATTGGATTTAAACAAATGCAGTAATGCTGTACTACTATATAATTAAAGTTATTATCTATAATAACTTAAAAATATAAACTTTATTCAGTCTAAAAAGTATTAGTATCTTATATTGTAATGTAATATTTGTATTACTGCATTATTAACAAAATTTATTTAAAGAAAGGTTACTTTTTCCTTTCGACACAAACACGTTGTATAAATAGTGTTCAAATATAATATCTATATCAGAATATATATTAAATAAATTGCTTCTATAAGTAGTTTTTCAATTCATTTTAATAAAAACTTTTTTTTTTTCTTAAATTCATTTTCAAAACATTTTCTCAGATTTTAAAGTTTTGCTTTATTGAACAACGGAAAAATTTTAAATTTTAGTAAAAAGATATCGAATTAATAAAATTATAATAAAAATTAAAATAAAAATTATAATAAAAATTAAAAAAAAACGAAACTGTCTCCTTGAACAGACTGTAATAATTATTACAGTCTGTTCAAAAAATTGTATAAAACTATGATAAATCAAATTAAAAGATTGTAATTTATTAACATCGTAAATTAAAATTTAATTTTTTTTTATTTTTATTATTTCTTTTTTTTTGGATAGAATTGTATATCTAGTTCAAATTTGTAGCAAGTACTTAGGTCCTAGATAGAAGTGTTTTTTAATTAATTTTTCTTTTGAATTAAAGTGTGACCTTAACACAGAAGAAAAAAAATTGAAAAAATAAAATCAAAAAAATACGAAATTTTATATTCGATAATATAAAACTGAAAATAATATATAAAATATATACCAGAAAAAAAGACCAATATTAAAACAAAAATTAATTATTTAGGGTCAAAATTTGTTAAATAAAAATATGTACCTATAAAAATCAAATCAAACAAAAGAAAAAGTTTAAAAATGAAAAGAGAAAGTAAGAACAATTTAAAATAAAACTCAGTTTCTTGTCATCTTATAAAAAAATTTATTAATTATTAAAAAATAATATAAAGCAAAAAAAAAGTAATTGTTTTATTATAATGGTATATAAAAAATTATATAAATAAATGAATAAATGAATATTATTTTGAAAAAGGAAATTGTGTTATTTTTTTTGTAAAATTTATTAAATTTATTTTTTTTAATTTTTTAAAATTTTCAGGTTTGAATATTATTGTGAAAGTGCGATATATCGTTGAATAAGAACAGTTACATCAATTGCATTTTCAATAATTGGTTAAATCAAATATTTGTATAACAAAAATATTGGGATATGAAACGTTATACTAGTACTAATGAGTAGAATGAATAAAAAGGAAAAAATTTAATTATAATTTTTACATAGACCAGTTACTCTAAGAAATTGAAGAAAAAATAGATTAAAAATGGAAATGTTTCTAGTCTAAGATTAAATTCTAAAAATAATATTTTGTATTCTTTGATTAAAATGGTAATTATTTTGAAGCATTTAAAACTTATTTGCGCTTAACGTATAAGGCTATTTTGAAAATACATTATTAAACCGATTTAGCTAAGTTAGAAAAAAAAGTTCAACAAGTTTTTTAAAAAAAATAAAGAACTTCTGTATTTTTAAAAAAGCTTTCACATTTGAATAAGTTTATACATGTAATTATAGTTGTTAGCAATTTTATGTTTTTCGTAATTTATAGCTTTGCAAAAAAAATTGAATTGTACACTTAAAAAAAATAAAATTTTCTAACTTAATCAATTATAACATTAAATGTGCGAATAAAACAAACAAAATTTTCAAAAAGCTTTATTATGATTTTCCGCCTACTATTGGCTTGCGAGCTGAAAACTTATTGCTGAATTATCTTATTAAAGCTTTTAAAAATTAAGTATTAATTATACATCAAATTTTTGGTTTTACTGTGTTCAATAAGATTGCTTGCAGCTTAGTGCTTTCTTATGAATGTATATTAAAAATTTGGATTAAAATTTAGTGAAGAAATTAAAATAAAAGTTTATTGTAACAATCCAAGATTAGAAAATTGAAAATCCAGATATTATGTACTTAAATTTATTTGTAATAAAACAAAATAATTTATGTTGTTACATTGTATATATTATTTATTTTTATTATTCATTTTTAATAGAAATTTTTATTTATAAACGGTTTGATTACACATAAAGATATAAGAAAAATTTAATTACAAAGTTTTAATGAATTCATTTTAAATTTATTAATTATTTTCTTTTTTATTTTGTGTTTGAAGCATTTATAATTACAATCACTGGACGGATTAATATTTATTATTATTTGATTAAACTTAAATTTCTATTGTATAATTTCCTTTAATGTTGTATTTATAGTTTTTATTAGCAAATTAAAATAAAAAAAAATTACATACAAAAATTAAAACTTAAAAAATAAGAATAAATGACAGAAATGACAATATTTTAATTCAACTTAAGCAAATTATCAAAATTATGCTTTAGTTGATAAAAAAAAAAATAGTTTTAAACTATGCCAATTGCCATTTCTAACTTTATTCCAGGAATGTTATATAGTATGGATTGTAAAATTGAATATTTAGAAATAAAACAAATTTAAAATTTTTAATATTTTTCTATACTAATTTATAAATTCTATATTATAATATTAATTGTAGAATATAAAATATTTAAAATAATTGTATTTTAATTTTCAAATTTGAGTAAACAGTATCAAAAAAAAAATTAAAGATTCCATATGAAAATGTGTCTATTATGAAATTATAGATTTTTTTTTTAGTCATTATTAACATAATAATTATGTATTCAGTATTTAATTTTAGGAAAATTTAATTTAATTTAATATAATAAAATATCTATACGAATACTTTAACGATATTTAAATAGATTAAATTAATAGTTTGTATGTAAATTTTCAGTACAAAATTTAAAATTAAATAGAAACAGAAAAAGAATCGTTCATTTTAATTTTATTAAAATTGAATCATCAATTTTTTATTTAAATTAGATTATTTTATTTTGAATTTGTTAAATCTTGCAATTAAGGTACTGATACAAATTTATTTTAAAAATGATAAAATAAAAATCTAAATTTAAGAAATAATATAGACACAAAATATACACTATATTGGAAAATACCCGCCACCTATCCAAAAATTTATTAGGTTTTAATTTAAAATTAAATTTATTATTAAATTAATAAAAATTAAAAATACAAAAAAAATTGTTTTTTAAACTCTAATTTATTTTAAGACGAGTATTTATTTATTATAGGATTAATTTTAATTATAAAATATTTTAAAATTAAGTAAATTTTTATTTGAATAACAGTTAATAGCTATCTATTTAATTATTTTTTTGTATATAAATTCGTATAAATGTATAATTAATTGCAAATAGGCAATTTATATTGTCATCTAATTTGTATACTTTTGTAGATCAAAAAAAAAATCCAAATTTTGTGCGGAATAAGACTATGAAATATTGAAAATGTTATTGTTATTTGAATGGTTGATAAATATCAGATTTTTAGGAATCATTATGTCTATATATTGCATGTACAATATATGGGTCGGTTTTTTGATAGTTAATTAAGTTAACAACTGCTCAAATCTATTCGAAATGAAATTTTTTATTTGCAATTGTATTTGCAATCTACATATCCGACTGTACAATCTTGTCCAGTTAATAATTGCACAGCAATGATTTACACAGATAGCTATTAAAATTTATTCTATTTTATAAAATTAAAAATTAATTACATAAAAAAATTGTTTTAATTTTCTTAATTCTAATTTTAATATAATGTTTTACATTTTAAGCTGTTATTTAAGTATACAATGCGTTTATTATTTATAAAATTAATTTACATTTTTATTTTATTACAGCAGGGTTTTTTTTCACTTGTTCATTTAAAATAAAAAGATTCTGGTACATTTTTTTTGTCTTCATTTATATCACAGTAAAATAATTTTTCTTTTATTTTTTTTTTTTTAATATTGGCAGATATCTTCTTTATTTTTAATATTGCGTATACATTTATTAATAAAATTATAGTACAAGAAATGTAAAATTAATAGCGAAATTCATGAGGTGGCGTTACAATTAATTTTAGCAGGGTTTTTTAAATTATTCATTATTGAGTTTGTATTCAGTAAAAGTTCTTGTTCTAAAAATTCTTTGTGGTGATAATCATAGCAGTTGAATTAACCAGGAATATGAAACTTGAGGACGGGTGTTTTAGGGTGGAAACAACTTGTGTACTTACTTTCTTTTCGTTCAAAATAATTAAATGATGAAAATTAAATTTTGTGTAAATTTTGAACATTTCTTGAACTATAAAATAATATTTTTACAAAATAAAAATGCAATTTAATATTTTTAATTTTAATTTTTGTTGTTTTTTTTTTCTTTTTTTTTAAATTTTTATATATAATTAAAGCGCAGTATTAGTGTATTAAAATAATTGGCACAATTTAATTGATAAAATTCAAAAATTTTTTAATTATTCCAAAATAAAAATTAAAAAGATTAAAATTTCCAAAGAAAAAATTAAAATTACTGAATAAAGGTGTGATTTGTTAATTTTTCTTTATTTTTAAATTTCTTTTTATTTTATTAATTTTTAAATTCGTTTTTATTTTGGAGAAAATTTTTCTATTTAAGAATGGCGTGATATTATACATATTTGAGTTAATTTAAAATTAATTTTTTCAAATTAAAATAATAAGGATTTGAATATTTCAACAAATATTTGAATGTTTTTTGTATTTATTTTGTATACATTGAATAATAGTAAGTTGTTCAAAAATTCTTATATCTTTTATACCATATTCATTTAAAATAGAACGCCATTTATATTTGTATTATATTTGCTACAAAAAATTGTTGTTTAGTTTAATTTTAAGAAGATTTCTTGTCTATTTAAAATATTTCATATTAAATCAAAAAATTAATAATAATGAAATTTGTCGAAGTTTAGGTTTATGTATAAGCAGGCAACCACTTACAATTTAATTTTTCTTTATGTCTTCATTCTAATAATTATTTTTATTATTACAAAATATCTTATCATTACAGTATTAAAATTAAAATATTACAATAAAGGCAATATATTTCATCTGTAATTTTATTAGTTTTATTTTTAATAAAACTGCCCTCTATTATTGAATTATTAATAATATTATAAAAATTCAATGTTAGTATTTTTTTGTTTTTGTTAATATCTTACTGGAAATTTCACATTATGTTTAATTTTTTTACTATTATTGTGACTATTATAATATTTAATATAATATTACAGTTTAAAATAAAAATTTTCATTTCCTTTTTTTTGATAGTAAATGCATTTTATGCAAAACTATCAATTTGTGTTTTATATTATAAATTATTTTTAGAAATTTTTTATTTTTCAATACAATTTGTATTTTTGACTACCATTGTTGAGATGAATCTCTCGGATGAGTTCTCTCCTGTGACTGATATGTATTTAATCTTTCTTCATGATATTCTGATCTTGTTATTGTTGTACCTCGTCCGGGTCTTGGAGGTGGTGGTGGTGGAATACGTCTCTGGTTGAATGGCTAAAAACAAACAAATTCAAAATAATTAATTTTAATTTAAGAATTCCTGTAAAAATAAATTAGTACCATAAGTCTGCGACTTTGTCTCGGTGATCCTTCGTCATTTGATGATATATCTGAAATATTATCAGCAGCAATCCAATGTTCAGTGAATTCACTGCCAGATCTTGCTAAACTTGGATGACTAATTGAACGATGGAATGATCTACGATCATAACCAGGTTCAGAATCAAAATAACCACTTTGTGGTCTATAATAACTACTAGCTTCAGACATATTATCTGGTCGACCAAAATCTACAGTGACTTCAGACATTGAACGGAAATCAACATTATCTGGTCCATATGATGATGTACGTGATGTACGTCTTGAGCGATTACTAACTGGATATCCAATTGATGTTATTGGTTGAATTGGATCTTGACGTATTGTACGTACACTTGAGCCACCATCACTGTCATATTCATATAGTGTTGGTAATGAACTACGTCTTGATCTTGTATCCCATGGTTGTTTACGTCCATTTCGTTTTGGTAATCTAAATTCAATGTCATCGTCAGTTGGGGCTAAAATTCTTATAATAACATCCCATGTTTGTGGTTCGAAAATTGATTCGTAACGTGTATCTTTTCGTATACGTTCAAAATCTTCTCTTACAACAGCTTCAGTTAACATAGTTCTTAAAGTTGATTCAGTGGTAATGATTTCTTTCCATTTAGTTTTATCTTCATAACTTATTTGTCTTGTCAATGGATGTGAACTAGAATGAACTGAACTTGTATCATCTGGTTGTGGCATATCTGGATCCTCCAAAACCCTTATTAAAACATCCCAGTTTGGTACAGTCGTATCTTCAGGTGGTATTTCGATTGGTTTCATGTTGACGACAAGCTCTGGACTTAGTAATTTCTTAGATTTATCAACAATTTGATCACGTGGTGGAAGACTCAAAACACTTCTTTCCATTTTCGGAGTTAAGCTTATTCCAGAAGCACTAGATATATCAGAGAAGTCTTCCCATTGTGGGCCAGGTTTTTCCGGATAATTTCTAATAGTAACATCCCATGTTGGATCTGGTGGAGGTAATTTAGCTTTGTATTCAGTAATTCTTCGTTTATGTGTTTCAATATCTTCAATAGTTTTCTTTTCTGTTATAGTCCTCAAAAATACATCATCGACATTATGTTGAGAAACAATCGGACTCTTCACAACAATAGGCGGCTCTGGTAGTCTTTGAGTTTCATAATAATGAGTTGTATCAACCATTTCTGATAGCGAATGTGTATCTGTCATTTCGGTACCGAGTGAAACCAAGCTACGTGTTTCACTGATTGGTGCGGCATCAGGATAATCTTCAGACCATGTTTCTGGTGGACGTTCTTCAATTTCGCGATGAGTTCTAGTATAAACAGAGAAGACAGGTTGTGGTGGAGCTGGGGCTGGTGGTTCACGAACTGGTACCGGATGAATCTCAGGAACATATGTAAATTGGGTATGAGCTACTTCATGAGGAGGCAGTGAATCAACAGTAATAATACTTTCACGGTCTTCAAGAGTTTCAACAATAGTTGAAAGATTATTTCTTGGAACATTAGTTATAACACTTTCAGTATCAGAGGTAAGAGGAGACGGGGGTGGTGGTGGTGCAGCATGCTTAACACGGACATGAACATTGAATTTAGGAGATGATTCTTTAGCAGCAATTGGTATTGCAGTGGTTGTAACAGGATTTGCTGCTTGTAATTCTTGAGTATGAAGATAATGTTCACTGTAAATACTTTGTGCATCTGGAATATAAGCTGCATTTTCAAAACTAGCAGCTGAACTAAATGGCAGTGATCTAAAATGAAATTTTTTATATGAATATAAACCAAGATAAAATTTAAAATAATTATTTAACCTGGTATCAAGCTCTTCAATTTCTGAATGAGATTCACTTGGATAATCTGATGGTATTGTATCAGAAATAACAATTTCTTCACTTCCAGACGAACTATGTACAACTGCAACTGGAGGATGTGCTCTAGGTATTTTAAGTCCTTCAAATGTTGATATGTTACCCATACTGCTACCACTAATTTTAGTAATTTCTGATCCAGTACCCATTGACATTGGAAGCCGTCGAACAACAGGAATTGGTCTACGGCGTAGGCAATAGTACGATACACCTAAACCAAGTAACATTAATGTCAGGAACATAATTGCACAAATAATTAATAATATCTGAAATCCTTTTAATGGTGGCTCCACAAATGGTGTTGTAATCAATTTATTAATCCTAAATAAATGAAATTTATTAAAAAACTGATATATGAAAATTTTCTTCTACTTACAATGGGATTGCTGCTGGAACTGATGGTATAGGTGGTGGATAACGGCAAACAATTGTTATTATTTCATCACCATCCATTTCTAGACCAGGATGAAATCGTACCACAATATTATTAGTAAAAACACGTTGTGGTTCCTATTATTTAAATCATTACATTATTTTTAAAATATTGAATTAATTTTTTTTTAATAAATGTGTTTTAAATTTAATTTACCTGAATTGTACCACATCCTTTTAATGGTAACTCAAGTTGATAACTTAAATCACCTTTACCAAGTATTTGGCAAGCGCTATTTCTATCGAAATCCGCATATGCTATCCCAAAAAATGGTTGATCAAATTTTAAAGCAATTTGCATTGAACCGGCAGCACAATTAAGGGCAGCTTTCGTTCGATTTAAAAATATAATTGGACTTAAATCATCCAATTTCGTTACCTATATATATACAATTAATTAATTATGAAAATATATAATTAATTATAAATTTTATATTAAAAATTATTATTTTAAAAAATTAAATTAATTAATTAATTACTTTGCCATCAAGTGTCGCTTCTTCTGGTAAACCTTTACCCTGATATTCAATATTATTGGCATGGGAAGCGTAATTTGATTGACCGGTAGTAATACTTATTAGGGTACATGATATCAATAAAAGGCCAATCATATATTGGCCCGGCAGTAATTTCGAATATTTCATCTGAAAATATAAAAAATAAAAATATAATAAATTAATTAAGAAAAATTTGATAAATTTTATATGTAAATCTTATTATAAATTTAAAAATAATTTGAACTTTGAATTGTATAACAGTTGTAATTTAGTTGGTGAGAGTTAAATTTTTTATTCTTAACCACCACTTGTAACTGATTAATAACAATTAAATAACTTTACTTATAGTTAAAGTAAGTACATTAATTCCGATCTGATATACTTGAATTTTTTTAATCTAATTTAATATTTAAAATAATTCCATATAGTATTATACTCTTTGACAAAACAATCTGACATCATTTATGGTCGTGATTGACAAAAGACAAAAAAATTAAAAAGGACCTTGAAATTTAATGTTTTTGTATTTTTAATTTTTTTCTTTCTACTTTTTTGCTACTTTTCATTTTTACAGTTAAATATATTGTTATATAAGAATGTTTGTGTTTGAGTAGGAGTCACTCAAATTCATTTTCATAATCACATTCACAAATTAAAAAAGATTAAATGGGTAAAACGTAAAATAAAACAAAAAAATATTATTATAGTGTATGATAGGGTTACATAAAGAAAACCAGTAATAACAGTAATGAAACAAAAAAAAAAAAATAGATGTATTACTGGTTATATTTCTACATATGTGTATAACTTTAATTTTTCAAAGTGTATAATATGGTTTTAAAAATATAACCAATATTCAATATTTGAGTGGTATAAGATTGCATAAATTCATTATATCGTATATGAATTCTTGAAATTAATATTGAAATTTTTGAAAAATAATTTTTGATATCAAAAAAAAATTTATACATGTATACTAGTATAATTGATTTGTTTATTTCTGTGGTTTTAAGCAAAAAAAACTCTTGTTAGGTCATAAAATCGTCTTTCAAGTCAATTCAGTTCAAAGTTCAAAATTAATTTTTTGAAAATAATTTTCGATATGCAAAGTGGTTTATATTAACAATAGTTTTAAATAATATTGAAAAAAAATATTAAATTTAAATTAAGGTTGAAAAGAACTCCAATTTAGATAACAAAATTTGTTTGAATTTTAGATTAATTGCCTTTATTTTGCACATTTGTAAATTGCTTTGGAACTAGCTAAAGTGGGTTCACTAATAAAATTCAAAGGGAATTTACACTAACTAATCTGTAAAGAATTCGGACTAAAATATAGTACTTTTCAACCTGGTTTCGCCAGTTTAGTTATGATGCACATATGACCATACATAGGTCGATTCTTGCGTTATAAAATTTATGCAATTCATATAAATTATATAAGTATTAAAAAATACCATTCAATAGAAAGATTATAATAATATTTCGAATTAAAATAATTCCTAAATCCTATTGCAGAAATTTATTTATAATTCAGTCGGAAATTCAAAAAAATTTCTTATAAAATATAAAATATTTGTTTTTTAATTAGTCCAGGTTCAGTTTAATAATATGTGATGCAATTTTATTTAATAAATTTATATAGTTCTATTGAATTGAGAATTATCATTTTATTTTTTGTTTGTTATACCTTATAGTTAAATTTAATATCAATTGATATATAACCTATCAATTGAGTTCGCTAACAGTGCGAATAGTTCGATGAAAATTCTCATAATTATAGAACAAAACATATACACAAATATTTTTAAAATTAAAATCATTTTTAGAAATTGTAATTATTATTAGGAAACCATAATTTATTTAAAACTATATATGCATGTAATTATATTAGAAATTTTCATATTATTTATTAAAATGAATTGCACGTAAATGTAAAATTATCTGTCTATATACGATATTGATAGAATTTCAGTAAGCTATTAGTACAAAAGTAAATACAAATGCAACTATGTTATATTTATAAACATATGTACATATATATATATATATATATATATATATATGTGTGTACATACTACTAACATAATAATAAAGTGATGATATATTTGAAAAATTATAATTATACATGCAAAATACTTTTTTACTTTATTGTGACTTTGAGTCTATTTTTAATTTGAATATAATGTATATGTATACTATATAGACCTTGTTCTAATGGATTATTTAACAAATTTAAACAATATAACACATAAGTATAAAGGTAATAAATGAATACATATGTTAATATGTAATAGATAAAAAAATATAATAATAAGAAAATTATAATTATAGTATTTACATTGAAATTTATGGTTTGCAACCAAACAATTAAAACCTAAAAAATATGCAAATTTATAAACAGGATGATTTAGAAAGCTATACAACAACATATACCATTGGTTAGAAGATCGAAAATGGGTAAAACTTTTGTTCTGGACTGGGTGGAAAATCTCAAAGGTTTCCAAGTTTCAGGGGTTTTAACGAATTTTCACGAATTTTTTACTTATCAAAGTTTTTTGGATTATAACTTCTATTCTGAAAAAGATAGAAACTTCAAACAAAGACTGAAAGTCCAGAACAAAAGTTTTACTCATTTTCGATTTTCTAACCAATGGCATATGTTGTTGTATAGCTTTCTAAATCACCCTGTATATATAATATGTGTATAATATAATGGTGTATATTAAAATAAAAATGTCTATATCTAAAAATATAAAATGTATCATCTTTTATATATGTATATTATTGTATATAAATAAAAACAATTAAAAGAGCATCAATGATATTTTGAGTAGTAGGCAAAATGGTTGTAGTTCACATTCATAAAATATTTTTCGTTTTGTAATCATCAGTTCAGAAATTTGCTACAACCATTTGTTCATGATCTATATAATCACATCTATTGTCAATTTTTACATATACATTATATAGTATATGGACTCCCATATGTGTATTGAAATAATAAAATAACACTCAATAATAATTCATAAGTTTTTAAAAAATTAAGTTATACGCCTTGCAATTAAAGTCTGAAATTTAATATGAATCGATTAAATTATTTAATTAAATTCATTTTAGTGTTACAGCAACGTAACTAATCTGATATCAAATTTAACTAAAAGATCATTTGTAATTAATAAGAATGTGTTTTTAAAATGGTGCTGTTAAGATTTTAATTTAATTTTTCAGAACTATCACAATTAATTTTTTGTTTTGTTTTCAATGGCGTACCTGTTTTCTAGCGCACTTTGCAGATGCTTACTTTGCTTGAATGGTACATTCGACACTGATAATAGCTATATTAAATACTCTGTTAAATGATTTTTACTTAAAAAATTTATTAGTTTTACAAAAGATTTTCTTATAATATACGGGGGGAATATAAACAAGGAGATACAAACAGCCTCAATGATAAGATGTTTAATTTTGACTTTTGTGGTATTTTTATGACGCAGAAATCATTAGAAATTATATTAATTGCTTTTATTAAAACCAATATAAAATTAAGGATTATTTTTTTGGTTTTAAATAATACCCCAATTAAATATAATTTAGTATCAATAAGAATTAAATACTCTGGTATCTAAACAATGTTAAATAGAATGCGTGTGGTAATGGGACCGTATATAAAATTATTTCTTTAATAAAAATTATAAATTTTAAATGACATATTGTTTTTCTTTAATGATTTTTCAATTTTTTTATTTTAAGTAATAAAAAATATTTTTTCGATGATTCAGCAAGCGTTGTTTAGAATTCAAAATGAGATACACCTATAATATTTTATAATTTTAAAATTCAAGGAATGAATTAGTTGTTATAAGATTTTGATATTTTATTTTCTTAGAATGATTTTACTTGGAAATTATCTGAATCATTTTTATGTTATTCTCGCGGATTGCTTATATTTTAGTGTGCTAGAAAGATATGTGTATGTATATAATAGGTCTAATTTTTGTAAATATTTAAGTAGCAAATTTTTTATCATCTACATAATAAAGAAAAATTTCATTTTAAAAAATTATCACATCCTTTGATGATGAGTAAAAAATTTGCAAGTTTTTCACGTTTTAAAAATTTGAACTTTGCGTATTGTATATTTTTTTTTTTTATATATACATATGTGTATATATTGGTGTGTAAAAAATAAATAAATATTCTGTTTTATGTTACATGTTAATTGAACAACATAGCAGAAGCATTTAATGCACATCCTATAATAAAGAGAGTTTATAGAATGTAAGATAATGCTTAAGAACATTGTTATTTATTTTGCACACATATTTTTTTGAATATCTTACGGAATTAAGATTGAAACTCGAGGCTATGAATGTTAGCATTTAAAAAATTTTAAAAGCTCCATAATTTTCGGTGATTTCGAACTCAGTTTCTATTATATTACGTTTTTACTCTATTTTGAAATTGTTTCAGGTATAGTTAAGCTTCTTCGGCTATTTTATAGATAATTCGTAATTTGGTTAAAAAGCTCTTTATAGAAATATTTTTAGAATGTTTTTGTTAAAACATGAATTAAAAAATAATCTCAGTTATTTAATTCGCGTTAATTAGATGTTGTCATTTTAGATTCGTGTTCTGAATTAATATTTAGAGTGTAAAAATCTAAAACAGCTATATTAGTTCTCTTGTAAAATAATTACGAATTCATTCTGTACTATATAACAGTTTACATTAATAATATTATATAAAAAATATTTATAAAATTATATAATTTATATTTTAATAAAATTTTTCAATTATAAAAAAAAAATTATAAATTATTTGAATTATTGAAGAAATTATTAAATTGGCATATTTATTAAAAATTTTACTACTCGCATATGCTTGTAATATTTTTAGTATAATTATTAGTTAGTTTATTACAAGCATTAGTGTGTAAATGTTCATATAAACGCTACGCATTATTATCATCAATTTATACATAACTGAATATATTTATATATAAACAAATATTATATACTATCATGCAAAACCAGAATTAATGTTTATTCAATGGTTAATAATTTTCGTTTCGTTATTGCTTAATGTATGATACCGCATGATGATGCTGTAATGCTATTTTACTTGTACTTGTTTAATAAAGCAAT